GCGGTGAAGTCCATGGCCTGAAATTTATACTACGGAACAGGGGAATTTGTGATAACTGGAGGTGAATTTAAGTTTGTAAGTAGATAAATGCAGTAAGTGACAGAGGGAGGGCGCGAGAGAGTGAGAGAGAGATATAGAGGGAGAGCAAGATAGAGAGAGACAGAGAGATGGAGAGAAATAGAGGGCGAGGGAGAGGGAGAGAGCGAGAGAGAGGCGAGAGAGAGGCGAGAAAGAGAGATAGAGTGAAATGTAGAGAGATATAGAGAGATAGAGCGAGAGAGCGAGAGGTGGAGAGAGATAGAAAGAGAGAGATAGAAAGAGAGATAGATAGAAAGAAAGAGAGAGAGACAGAGAGAGAGATAGCGAGGGGGGGGGGCAAATAACGTTTAAAGACGATGAGCGAATAACAACGAGTAACTTTAGGCTAGTAGATAAGGAATGAGACGGAGATAGCGTCGAGAAGATTATTGAACAACCCGCCTAAAAATGGTCATTAACAATCGATAAAACATTATCTCCAAAAGCTGATGCCACATCTGCGCGCATGTCCCCCTCACTCTTCAAAAGTTCGTTACTTTAGTGTCTCAACGCTTTCTAATTTTTAAAAATTTGCAAAAATTCTCAACGATTAGGTCGCCAAAAATCGTAAAAAGTAACTTGTGTTTATTCTTCATACCCAGCATATTTAAGCATTCTGGTAAGGTAACCATGGTCCAATTCGTTTCCGTTGGTGAGATCGCTTGATGCAAACTGTGGGCTTTTTTCTGCACACCCTTTAGTTTGAGTCCCGGCCGCGCTCGACTTTTTGTTTTTTCAAATATCGGTCGCGCTTCGAAAAGTTTACAACTTTTCCTTGAGATAGTTTTACACAATATTTTGTCGATGGTTTTTAACGTTATTGTTTCCCGCGGCGAGGTCAGTCGAGAGTCGGTATGATTATCTTCTTATAGTGCAGCAATTCAGTAAAAAAGAGTTACGTTACGAAGATTCAACCGTAGTAAAACAGCCACAAAATATTTTGTAAAAAACCTGAAGGAAAATTATGAACTTTGTGAAGCGCAAGCCATATTTGAAAAAGGAAAAAAAGTCGAGCGTGGCCCGCTCGAACTAGGGACGAATATCCGGAAAACCAAGGCCATTCCTAATTTTCTAAAAAACGCCATCGTTATCAGCATGGTCGATTACATCGTAGGCGCTTGGTCCCAGATTGAAACTCGAACACCGTTATGTGCCGCTCCCGAGCCCATTTTATGGCGTTTCCGGCGTCTCCCGCTAGGTTCTAAATCCATTCCAAAACAGGAGATCCAATTTATTCGCTCATAAATAGGGTTATCACGATGCCCATAGCGTGTTGATACGACACATTTGTAGAGGTTGAACATCTCCACTAACTACCACAGAATGATAGCCAACATTCGTATCGATTAATGGGTTATGCACGAAATATGTCGGGCAGTTGTAGGTGTAGCCGGCGATTTGGACGAAAACCTGGAAAAATGAAATATTGAGCGAGAGAGAGTGCGGGAGAGAGAGCGAGAGATAGAGAGAGCGAGAGATAGAGAGAGAGCGAAGAGCGAGAGAGAGAGAGCGGGTGAAAGTGAGAAGTGAGAAAGAGAGAGAAACATAGAGAGAGGGAGAGATAGAGAGCAAGAGAGAGAAAGAGAGAGAGAGAGAGAGAGAGAGAGAGAGAGAGAGAGAGAGAGAGAGAGAGTGAAAAAGAGCGTGAGAGAGTGGGCTACAGTGGGAGAGATAAAGAGCGAGCAAGCGAGTTAGAGATAGAGCGAGAGAGCCGTCTCGTGGTTGCCCGTGCTGATAGAGCAAAAACCTACCGATATCGAGGTTTTCGTATTGGAAATGATGACGAATACGATCTGGTCCGGGCTGTAATTAGGAAAACTACGGAAAATAGTCAAAAACTCACGCAAACGCCACATTGCTCAATCCACAGTCACTCGACGTCCCAACCAGGCTCCAATCTCCGGAGAGGTTGTTCGAGATTTGGTACTGTAAATGATAGCGTATCGTATTCGTTATTAATCGGTTTTTAGATACGTTGTGATCCTAATAACGACGTAAAGAATACGTTACGCTACTTCTTGCAGTCATTACAAAAAAAACGTACAGAATGTTGTGCCATGGCCATTTGCCAGCGGAAATTCACGGTCGATCCGGTTCCCATCAAATCGATAGTGAAGTTGGTTCCCGTGCCTAGATCAGCGACGACCACTACGGTGGAACCTAAAGGTTAAAATTTTGGCTGGTTTTTGGGATAAAATCATTGGTTTGGAAACGAAATACCGTACCCACGGGGAAGATGTTGTCCTGGGTGGGGAAGGCGAAGCTGTGCGGCAGGGTTATCGACTAAAAATGGGGAGTAGAGATTTTTGAGTTAAAGCGGGCTGAGAAAGCCAGATGCCTCCAATTTTAGGTGCAAAAAACGTAGCTACCGTAATAATTTTGAGAACGTAACAATCCAAGTCCAAGAAAAAGTAAAAAAAAAACCTGAAAAACTCACTTGATTCCAGTGCTCGTAGACCTTGAGCAAGAACTCCCCTCTCAACCCGATGCTCGACACGCTCTGAATTGGGAATGTGAACTGATAGTTGAAAATGTTCCATTGGCTCCGGCCGTTCGTGAAGTAGATCGCGTAGTTTGAGTCGAGAACCCTGAAATGTAGGATTCGGGTGAGAGAGAGTGACAGAGAGGGAGAGAGACAGAGAGAGAGAGAGAGAGAGTGAGCAAGAGAGCAAGCGAGAGTGAGAGAGAGTGAGCAAGAGAGCAAGCGAGAGTGAGAGAGAGAGTGAGCAAGAGAGCAAGCGAGAGTGAGAGAGAGTGAGCAAGAGAGCAAGCGAGAGAGAGAGAGAGAGGGCAAGAGAGCAAGCGAGATGGAGAAAGAGTGATAGAGATAGTTTCTTTAGCTACCGAAAAATTCAATACCTGATAAAGATCATATGCGTCTCCCCAGTAATATTCGTAGAATCGGCAGCACTCCTCGGCATAACTTTCCGGATTCCATCGGTGTCAAGGTCTTGTCTCTAGAAAAAAGTGCTAGAGAGAGAGAGAGAGCAAGTGAGAATGCATAAGAAAAATGTAGTTACCATATCATCACCAAAAATCAACACATCCTGTGCAGGATTCGAGTCATTTGCCGGGTTGAATTGATATTGGATCCGGAAACCGACGTCGTCCCCGACGCCGAGACGGATTTCATAGACACTGAAAGGTAATGCTGGACCTTCCGACCACGCGCCATGCATCAAAAACCTAAACCGAGGTCAAGATGCCGAGTCGGGTGACGCCGGTACCGAGTTCCCAAAGCGGCAAATGCGAATAAATGTAAAAGTATACCTTTCTGTAATGTTCGGCTGTCCATTAATATACAGCACACTGCCCGTGTTCAGCACCGTCGTCACGTTGTCGAGAATCTCCATCGTGTACTCGCTGATCGTGTCGGCATTTGAGCCAGAAAACAGGAAAAAAGCCCTGAAAAACACCCAGGCTTAACGTGATATACCTTATTCCTTCTAATACGACCTAAAAAGCTTGGAAAAACCTACCAAAGTAGTATTTAACATTAAGAAAAACGACTCAACATTGTTTTTATGCATTTTACTGGTGCAAATAGGGATTTTAGACAGCTTAAAATGAGAAAAAAACCACGAGAATTGCTCAAAAACGGTCAATTTTAGATCTACCTCGAAATAAGGGAATTAGTGCATTTTTAAAAAATTACCAGAAGCAGAATAGAAGACCAGCACATCTTCTTTTTAATCTTGTTTTACTGTTTTTAGGTAGAAAATCAATTTTCAGGCGACGGACCACCTGTAGAATGGCGGGCTTCGGCGGCGTAATCCGCGGCCCGCTGGTCAACCCAGCCTATTAGTTGGGGATCCGAAATTTTACGCGCCCACGTGCGCGCACGCGTCGAGACCATTTTTTGCGGTAGATTTCGTTCGTTTTTGTTTACGTGGAGGCTTTCTGTTTTGGTTCCTGGTAGAATATAAAAATTGGCCGATTTAACGAAATTTTGGATCGAAATTCGCTCGAGTTGAACGCTAAAACTTGTTTGACGGCCAAGTAAACTCAATATATTATAATAGGCATTTTTCAGCTTGTGTTTGTGTAGAATTACTAGTTTTGAGACTTTTCGTAGAACTTTCATTTCAAATTCCACTTTTCTAGTCTTTTTCTCGTTTTTTTTTGCTCTTGTAAGGAGTGAAGCTGTCAAAAGTTTTAATATGTTAATAAGTATAGTTTAATTATTTATAGGTATAAAAGTTTATAAGTTTATTAAACGCAGAGTTCTTGCCCTCCTGATCGCGCCACAAAAAACCAAACGTTTATCTCACGCTTTTTCGTGGTAGTACGTCGCGAAAATTACGGAAGTTTTCGCTTTTTTCGACGAAAATGGGTGTCGCAGCAACAGTCCCGGTTTCAGTTTATCATTTCAGTTTTTTTTTGCTTTTTATCGTGAGTTTATGGTTTCCGTTGTTGACTAGTTCATGATCCAAAAAGCGGTTTCTGCTCCGAAAAAGCAAACAGATTGCTATAAATTGCCAGGAATTTTAGCGGCGCAATATCTAAACAAAAATCAGTACAAGCATGAACGTGAAGTGCCTTCAATGGCCCTTATTGTCCTTAAAAGTTATATGACCTCTGTCATATAAAATTTATCAACGAGAGCGCGCGCACACGGCAGGCAGGCAACAAAAACAACGATCGGCAATATGTGTAAAAACAACATCAACACGGATACCCAGCGATGAACGGCCAAAAAATATCACATTGACAAAACGGGAGGGGGGGGAGGAGCTACGGTAAAAAAGTGGCTGTAGAAAAGAACTTAGCGCTGAAAATTAATAAAATAGGGTGGAGGGGAGAGCCGAAAAACACACCTGAAAAATTCAATATTTGGCAGTGAGAGTGGCGGGCCAGAGAAAGAGTGATAGAGATCATAATCACGGGAGTTTTGTGAGCATAAAAAGGAGATATTTCCATTAGTTGTCGACGGGCTCCTCCTTGATCATCGCCTCGTAGCGGGTGGTGGTATGCGCAGTGGCAGCAGGAGCGGCGACGTTCGCGGCGGAAGTGCTGCTTTTCGTCTTGAACGGCTTCCGCGAGCTTTCCCTGGAAAAAATCGAATTTCCAAAACTGAACTTAAATTATAAACGTCGTTGTATTGATTTTCAAAACACATAAAATAAAAGAAACGTGGATGTGACAAAATCTAGAAAAATGAGACTTGTTAGAAAAAATCAGAAAATTTAGATTATGAAGAACTATTTTATACAGCGAAATTCAATTTTACAAAACAAATAAAATAAGAGACGCAAGTAAAAATCTAGAATCTAATTTAAAAGACACGATCACCAAAAATATTATTTTCGTATATAAAAATATTGATTTTTTTTCATTAACTGACTCGTTTAACTTTGCCTTCAAAAACGGATGCAAAAGACGCGAAAAAACTATTGAAACTACTCTATAGCAAACGAAATCACATAGTTCAATCAAAAAATAACAAAAACTCTTAAAAACCCACTTTCCCTTGACCATCGCCACCACAGACTCGTCCATCTTGCGGTGGAAGTCGTGGCTGGCCTGGGCGTAGAATGTGCGCAGCCTAAAAAGGTATATTAAAACTTTATATATACAAAACTCTAGATCATTTCCCAGTTCTGGATTCTGGATACAATTCAAAAAAATGGCGGAAAAACTCACGCAGAGAGCAGCTCCTTCTCGGCCCGTTCCGAGCCGGCGCTCTTCAGGAAATCCTTGACGTCAGCCTCATTGAAGCGCGAGAGCACGAACTATAAGTTTAAAAGCTATATAAAAAATCTAGTTAAATTATACCGGAAAAGCGGGTACTCTCCAATCTTCGCAGGAGCTCGAAGAATCGCTTCCGGCTCTTCCCGTCCTCCCGCCAGCTCCCAGATCCGGCCATCTTCAGCAATAGGATCTTCACGTAGTTGGCAAGGTTTTTGAACTGAATAAGGGCATAGAATTTCGGTTATTTGTTTAAATTGCATAAATTTGTCCAAAAACACTTTTTAAATTCAATTTAGAATTGTATCCTTTTTGTCAAAATTCTATAATTTCGTTAAAAGACACCTTAGAATAAATAAACTACAAAAAACAACTAAATGAAAATTACTCGATAATGCAGGTAGAAGATGTGTGTCATAGATCAAATCTGGGTAGCTCTTCTCCTTGAACATTTTGTCGACGGCGTGCGAGATGGTGTCGGAGGACAGGCCGAAGTCGTTGTACAGCAGGGTGATGTCTGCAAAATTGAGGATTCTTAGATGGCCATTGCTGGATTGCCATCAGTTACGTTGAAAAAGAACTTCCTACGATCTCTGCTAGCTTCCCATTAGCTGGTTTGGAAAAATTCTCAAATGTTCCCTGCTAGATTGCCATCAGCTAGGATTCTAAAAATTCGGTGTCTATCTTTGCTAGTTTCCCCTGGCGGTTTCTGCTAGCTTGCCTTCAGCTAGGTCTCGAAAAATTCCTTGCCGGTCTCTGCTCGTTTGCCTTCAGCTAGAAAAATTCGATAGCGATTTCTGTCAGATTGCCTCAATAGATTGCCAAATCATCCTTACTATTAGCGCTGTCCGCTCGTCTCTCCAACGCAAAAAAGCTCAATCAAACTCACGCTGTCTCTGCAATTTTGCTTGCTCGTCATTTTCCGGTTGCAACCGGTGGATGGAGATGATCAGGTCGACGGCGGAGAGCGGGCAGGCTAAAATCAGAAATTTTTGCAAAATCTGACCAAAACGAACTCGGCGAGGTCAGCCGCTTGAAGACGTAGCCGACCGTCTTGTGGTTGATCGTCTCGAGCATCAGGCTAGAAACGAACGCCAGGATTGCTCCTGAAACTGAAGACCGGGTATCGTAACGCAGCGTATCGTGACGTAGCGTATCGTAACGGTTCATCCCAATGCGCGTATATTAACGTAGCGCATCCCCGAGTAAACGCAACGTAGCGTAGTGTATCGTAACGTATCCTTAACGTAAGGGCACTATAACGTGCGCATCGCAACGCGACGTATCGCAGCGATTCGTAATGTAGCGTATCGTAACGTAGCGCATCGATACGTACTGTGGCGTAGTGTAGCGTGCCCTGGCAGAAATGGTTTACGATCGGCTGCCTGAAACTTCGGACATCAACGCCAGATCGTCGCTCCGTGAGGCCTTGCATCGCTTTTACCAGTGGCTTGCTGATCAGGTCTAAAAAGCAGATAAACTAACAAATCCTACGAATCCTTACTATTAACAGATAGCACGTGGACGATACGCGCCACCAGCGTCTCGGCTTTCTGCGGGCAGTTGTTGATCAGGTTGACAATCTCTGACGTGTCTGTGTGGTTGGCGATGGGCAGCTCGATTTTTTGGAGTATCGCCTGAAAAGGGTAGATGACCATTAAGGCAAAAATCCGTTATTTCGCAATATTTTAAATTTAAACTTTTGAGGTATTTTCAGGCTTGAAAAAACAACGTCAAGCTATGGGTAGAATTCTAAAAGCCTACCTTTTTCAGCAAATTGTTACCGACGGCGTACACGCTGGCCAGGTAGTGGATGAGGGCGGGGTCTTGCGGGATCAGCTCCAGGTACGTCTGCACGGCGATGGAGTACAGCTTGTCGGTCCACTCGGTGGGTGCTGGCTGAAAAAAGGTATATAAAAACGTAAATTTGCATATTTTTCGCATTTTGCATAAGAATGCCTTAAAATTCGAATTAGCGTGCTAGCCACCAGGAATTCCGGAAAGTGGCCGTAATCTTGATGAGATATCTGGTATAAAAACAGCTCGATTTGCCTAAAGTCACGTACACCTCTCGACGAATACGACTACACGCTGGGATGGGCCGCCCGATGTGCCGCACCGCCGCCGACGATGCCCGACTTCTGCCGGCCCGGGAGACGACGACGACAGCGGGGACGGACGGGTTCAAGATGCGGATGCTAATGCCCGAACGCTCGCGACGAGTTCAACGAGTTCATGGATCGGCATTTAGGCCCGTTTATTTTTCCATTCAAATTTTTGTAGCATGTGGCAGCCAATCAGCCCGCGAGGTTCAAGCTGAACGAAGCTGATGCACCAGGCCCGACTACTGCTGGCCCGGGGACGACGGCGACACGGGGGCGGATGTGGGCGGGCTCGAGACGCGGATGAGGGTGCTCAAGCGCTCGCGACGAGTTCAAAAAGTACAAGGACTGCAAGGACTTCAAGAAGTTCAGGGAATTCAAGCAGCTGGCATTAGAGGCCTGTTTATTTTATCGCGCAGTGTGGCGGGCAACGGCGAGGCTGACGCAGTCAAGCCGACGACAAGAAGGGCAGCGCCGACATGAGCAGGGAGGGAAATGATGATCTCGTCGGTATAGTTTTTCTAGGATATCCATGACGAGATGTGACGCAATTGGGCAAGCGGTAGCGGCGATGAGTCCCGAATGCCATGCAAACTGGGACAAGTGAAGATCACCACTACGCTACTGCGGCGAGCCCCGCGAATCACAATCGGCAACAAGCAGTTCAACAAGGCGCTCGGAAGGCCTGTTTGGTTTTTAGCCACGTTGTTGTTGGTGTTTTTATATCCATTTTAAATCCCCCGTTTTCTCACCTCCCCGGGCTTGGCGAAGGAAGGTGGCGGCGGCGTGACGGTGCACTTCTGGAGATTGTCCTTGAGCAGCCTGACGAGGATGTCGCGGATGAAGCGGAACGTGAACAACTCCTTTGCCGTCTTGGAGGCCTCCACCGACGTCTAAAAGCCGTGATACTCGATCGAGTAGCCGCTACTCACCCCCGCCACGTCCTGGACGCTGATGTCGATCAACAGCCGGAGTAACGTCTCGCGGAAGTCGACCCGGGCGATGATCATCTCCCGCAGCGTGATCAAGCAGATGTGGCCGTACGACTGAAATGGAGATGTTCAGCGTCAAAAAGGCTGATTTGACCTGTGACAAACAGGCCTCCTTGAATATAGTCATTGCCGCCGGGCTGAGCAGTGGGGCTTCCAGGTAGAAGCGGTGGAAGACCCTGAATTGGAGGAAATACGGCCTGAGGAGTCGAAAAAAGCGAGAAAATGGCTCCTGGAGCCCAAAAATAGCGAAAAATTTGACAAAGGGCCTCGTGAAATCCCAAATTTCATTTTTTTTTAATTTTAATACGGTTGAAAGTAACTGAATTACGGCCTGAGGAGCCAAAGAGTAGATTTGGTGAAAGTGAATTGGACAAATTTGTGAAAATCGGTCAGATAATTCAATAAGCGAAGTAAATTTCCTTTTTTTTAATTTCTAAGCG